AAAATGATATTTAAAAGTTTACATTAAAAAATTGATTGTGGTTGTAAAGAGGATTATCCATAAGCACAGCCCTAATCCTATTCTTAAAACTATTAAAACCTTGGATGTTTCTTACATCTGCAGGAAGATAATTGTATGCTTTTGTAGCCATATAAAGTGGAGATGACTGAAATAATGATGTTTTGTGAATAGGGATTGTTAACTTTTGAGAAAATCTGGTTTTGATTCCCTTGTTAATTTCACTATTGGTTTTAAAATAACTTTGATGTTTTCTAACAAACAACAATACCCTATAAAAGTATAAAGAATACATGGTCATCAGTTCGTATTTTCTAAAGATTGGGACAGCATGTTCATTCCATTTAGCTCTATCCAAGACACGTATCAAGCGCTTCTGGAGTAAAAACAGTCTTTCAATTTTAGATGTTGATCCCCAAATGATGATTCCATAGCTGATGCGACTCATTACATGTGAATGGATGTACAATAAGGTTGTTTTTGCATCTACTTCTTGTTTCAAGTTTTTTACAGCAAAACATGATGTCGCTAGTCTTTTAGCAAGACTTTCTATGTGACTCTCCCAGGTAAGAGATGAGTCAATGTGGACTCCTAGAAATTTGGTACTTTTTTTATTTGGAATGTATTTGTCATTGAGTAGTACTACGGATGGTGGATGGTCATTATTTTGCGATCTTACGTTCTTAAAATCAACAACTACAGACTTTTGAGGGTTTAAGAGGAGACCATTACAAGTGCACCAATCTGATATTTTTGAAGATGTTAGATTTAGACTAGCAACCATATCGAAGTGATTTTCGTGATGTTCGGTTGAGCTTGTATCATCAGCGAACTGATGTAGTTTATGGACCTCATCAAACATGTCAGAAAGACTGTTACAGAAAATAAGAAAGAGCAAGGGAGAAAGGATTCCGCCCTGAGGGACGCCATATTTTATGCTCTGGGTAGCTGATCTAAATTGTTGGTTAACAATCTGACCATCCCCCCCTGATATTTGTACAAACTGCTGCCGATCTGTCATGTAAGAAATAATCCACTCCAGAGCGGGTCCTCTGATCCCATAATTCTCCAGTTTCTCAGCAAGCAAAGGTGTGTTAACTAGATCAAAAGCTTTGGAAAGATCGTAGTATATTCCTGCTGGGTGATGTTTTTGATCTAGGTACCTGTATATTGCATTGATTGATTCAAACAAGGCTGTTTCAGTAGACTTCCCCTTTAGAAACCCATGCTGAGAAGAAGAGAATAAGTTATTTTTTGTGAAGTATGATGTCAACCTAGTGTACATGATTTTTTCAAAAACCTTAGAAAACACTGACAGGTTTGAGACTGGCCGGTAATTACTAACTTCACTTTTTTCTCCTTTCTTGTAAATGGGGATAATTTTAGCGATTTTTAATATTTTTGGAAATTGGCCTTTGAGAAATGACATATTAATAATATTTTCCAAAGGAAAGCACAAAATATCAGCAACATTGCGTATTATATGACACGGAATGTTGTCGGAGCCACTTGAACGCTTTTTGGTAACCTGGAGAAGTACTTGATAAACCTCCTTATATGAGGTTGGTTCAAGAAAGAACGAGGTACTTGTCTTGGATAGGCTCTTGTTCTCAATGGATAGGCTCTTGTTCTCAATGTTCTTTGCCAACTCATCACCAATGCCATTTACTGAGGTCAAAAAGTAGTTATTATACATATCACAAAGAGTTTGTGGGTTTGTTACAACAGTGTCATTGAGAATAATTGGTTGCACATCAGAGTAGTTACTAGAGTTTTTCCCGTTCTTTTTGTTTATTATTGACCAGGCAGCTCTACTTAGGTTTGATGATTTTTTTATGAAGTTTGAATTGTAGTCTAGTTTGGTTTTTTCTAATAACTCTTTGTATTTCCGCTTTAACTGAACATATTTGTCTTGTACATTCTTGTTTTTAGTTCTTTGAAACAACCAATGCAAATTTTTAACTTTGTATGACATGTTTTTAATTTCTGTTGTAACCCAGCCCCTTGAGTTCTTTTTTAGTTTAAATAATCTTTCAGGGAATTCCTTATTATAGGCTGACAAAACAATACCATGAAATTTGTTAAATTTTTCATCAACCTCATTGGCATTATACACCTCGGACCAATCCTCCATACTCAGGTTCTCATAAAAGGATTTTTGATTTTCTGTTGAGAATATTCGTTTTATAGTTTTTTTTTGGTGAGTTTTTTGACTCAACAAGTCCTCTATATCGACAGATATCATTAAGTGGTCTGAAAACCCTGTTTTTAAGAGCAAATTATTATTACATTCATAATTTGTAAATATAAAGTCCAATAGAGTGTCCGAGGATGGTCTGGTTGGTTCGAGGCTAGTTGGCTTCAATCCATAACTCAAAAAAGTATCCAGAAGTAAGTTTTTGTTTTTATTATTTTGACTTTCGCTACAATTAATATTGAAGTCGCCCCCAACAAATACAATCTGATATCTCTCTGTCAAACAGTGTAAAACTAAATTAAGTTGGCCAAAAAATAGCTCGGTATCACTGGTGGCTCTATCAGGGGGGTGGTAAATTGATAGAAAAATGGTTTTTTTATTGTTAACTTGTAACTCGCAAGCTGTATACTCAAACACATGCTCTGTAGAAGGTATTTTAAGTGATACCCGTTTAGTTTTCACATTTTTTTGTGCAAAAATTGCAACTCCTCCGCCTCTGCTAGAGCCACGGCAAAACGAACCCACCAGGCAATAGTTATCAATGCTATACTGCTGGATTTCCTCCTCCGATAGCCAATGCTCACATATGCCCACTATACTAGGTTTTATTTCATCTAGAAGAGCTTCTAGTTGCAAGTTTTTATTGCGTATGCTTCGAGCGTTCAGTTGGCAGATGCGTATTCTTTGGCCATCACAGGAAAACACTACCTTGGACTGCGAATTATTTTGAGTTTCCGAAAAAACTCAGGACTTATTACATTTTGGTAATAGTCGTGGATAGATTTCAGATTACCCACTGATGCAATACTACATGATTTATCAAAGTCATCACAATTCTGACTGCCACGAGCACAACTAGAGGCCTTTTTACACCTATGATCACTAGCGCCAATCACACTTTTTCTTAAAATGTTGTGCTTTCCTAGTTTTCCTGCTGAACTGTCCCATGCTTCTGCCTCCCCAGAATCAGCTGATGTTTTCCGTATGACAGTATTTTTGATGTCTTTAATTGGGCTAAGATTAGTTTGAGGTTTAGCACTTGCTAGTTTTATATTTCGATGTATTACTATCTTTTGTTTGATAGGAGAGTTTTCGCGTAATTTATTTAGGCGGTTTGTAAACTGCTCGTTTTCGTTTATGTAGCTGAAATCTTGCGCAGCAATATTCTGTACGTTGTCGTGCAAATGCGGGTTTTGTTGACGCTGAATAAGTTGGGTAGTTTTTTTTCTAATGCCGGTGTTTCCTGGCACTTTGTTTATTTTGACCAAGAGGTAATTAATCAATTTTACTAAACCTTGGTACTCCCAGCAGATTTTTGTGGTCATTTTTTGTTGTTGCATCAAGCTTGTGCTGATATATGTTATGGGTGTGCTTCTTAAAGATTCTTCTAGATTGAAGTTTGTTTTTTGTATGAATTTATTCAAAACAGGTCTGTTTGTGGAAAAGGGACACCCAGCTACAGAAACTTTTCCTCGTGAACTTGCCAGTTTCCTAAAATCCTTGTTAAGTGAAGTATTTCTACATGCATCCTCATTACCAGTGAAAATTATTAGTAAATCATTTACCCTTATCTTGTTCGCATATGATTCAGCATGGCTAAAGAGGTCATTTATAGTTGCTCTGTGTAAATAACGATAGCTTATGTCATAGCTTTTCCTGGTGCATGCTTTAAATATTCCGACCAATCCCTTCATTTCAGAATTTGTAATCAAAAACGCCTGTGGTTTTTGTGACGTCTTTTGATCACTTTCTAGTGTTTGGTTATTTGGGTCTTCCGCTTGTATTTCACTGGAAGTTTGGGTGCCTTTATCTAGGTGAATTGTTTTTAATGCATTTGAGTACATCACTTCTTCCAAGGCTTCCTCCGTCAGTTCTGTTGAATACTAACTGGTGCGAAAACTGGTGTTTTGACATTTTTTGACAAAAAATTTAAATTTTTGATTTATGAAATTCTCGAATGTAATACCACAAGAGGTTTTAGGATTACCGGATAATACTTTTACCTGTCACGAAACGCCTTACGCAGCAACACCACGACTCCGAAGGAGGAGTGGTGTTGCTGGTAACGCGTTGAGTGTCAGGTAAAAGTATTAGGTAAGCCTGAAACATCGAGTGGTATTCAAAAGGTTATACAACGAACTAAACTTTAATTCTTTTTCAATTAATAATTTCATGAATCAAAAATTTAAATTTTTTTGTCAAAAAATGTCAAAATACCAGTTACCGTGCAAAAGGATTATCACTTTTTAAGCCTCTCGTGCCATATGGGAAGGATTATCACTTATTAATCCTCTCGTGTCATATGGGAATAATGTACAGTGAGTTGTATAATCTCATTAAATACAACTCGTGCAATGGAAATATATTTATAATTTTCGACAAATTTGCACTCATGCGTTTTTAACTGAAAAAGGCACTCGTGCACTACGTGCACTCGTGCTCTTTTTCAACTAAAAATGCATTCGGGCAAATTTCCCAAAAATTATCAATAATTTCCATTGCACTAGTTATATTACTATTGATAATTTTTGTTGACATTTCCTCAGTTTCATAACGAAAACATTAATTTATATTTAATCTTGTTTCATGGATTGGGTTTATTTTATAAATAATTGGATTAGTTTTCATAATAATATATAAAAGTTCTCTAACTTTTCCACGAACCAATTCCGTGCAAATGTGTCATAAAAAGCCGCGTGATTATTTAAAATTTATTTAGATTGCGTTTTAAAAATAAGTTTTGCAATTGAATCTTTAACGAGGTTGTTTTCTTTGCTTGTTTCAGAATAGAAAGGAACTATTTTAAACGTCAATAAAACTTCGAAAACGGATCGAATGGACGACGCAGCACATTGGTAAGTCAAAACATTTTCAATTTAATATACGTGAAAATTAAACAATTCCTGTTTTATTTTTCCACGGTTTATGGTCTAACAAATTGGCCACGATCCAAAGGGGATTATCTTAAGCTCGTGTATGTTTTAGGTATATCTACACGGGCTTCAGTTAACAAATAATGCAGCAACGGGTCTCGTCGGGCTCCGGCATGGACGCCAGCAAGGATGAGGAGCAAGGGACGCCAACCCCTTCTAGGGGTCGGGTAAGAATTCAATTTATCATTTTCTCTAGAGTTATTTGTATTGTTAGAGTCTTTAGGGAACAGTTTGAAGAATTTTTAATATGAACCCATTTTTCAAAATATTCAGATTTCTGAATAAGAATTAATATATGTTCTGTTTTTTTTTATTTATTAGTTTTTCTGTTATAATTTCTGCTTAGTAGAGCTTCATTATTGCAATGCTTTCAGTGGTTGTCTTTACTTTCCAATACTATCGATATATTGCTTTTGCTGTATTAAACCAAATTATCATTTATAATTCATTATCCGCTTTTAGAGATTGAAGTGTGGTAACGTTACCGCGGTAACGGTAATTTTGGTAATTTAACCCGACAAATTTCTTTACTGGTAATTTTCAAAAAGGCTTCCTGAATGAAATCGCATTCAGACGACAATTCTTTTCATGCATTATTCGCCATCTAGTTGTGAATCTGTATAAAGCGCTTTCAGGGTTGGCATAAACAAATAGTTATTTACCTAACAAGTGCGAAAAGTGGTACTTTTTCGCCTCCGACGGCAATTGGCAAGCTGTCAAGGATTGAAAAGACATTTTCCGCAAGAGTTAGGTGTAATGTTTTTCCACGAGTGTTATTGTCCAAATCAAAGTCTTCCAAATCATTAGGAAATTAGGAGAATTTATTTATGTTTTATTTTCTCTGCTCGTTTTTCGTTCTAGGAATTAGATATTATTATTTGTTTATTGGAATATTTCTACTATTCGACAAACACTATTATGATAAATGGTTGTTTAGGTAAAAAATCCTGAAAGAATATAATCCTTGAACATATATGTCGTATATGGTTATAAATTATCAAAAATTTCCAAAATTACCGAAAAATTACCGGTAAATTACCACTGAGAAAGAACAAATGAAAATTACCGGTGAACTTCAATCTCTATCTGCTTTTAATGAAAAACATTTGATGGCATGATAGGTTTATACAAGGAAACAAATAGTTACATATTTAAGTATTAAGGGCGATAAGTGTCATGTACCGCCCGAGAATGTTTGAAAAGCGTCGCGACAGCGGAGGTCTTCAATATTCGAGGGTGGTTAACAACACTTAACGCCCAAAATACTTATTACGTTTTATACACATCGGATTCACAGTTCAAAAATAAAATAACTATACCTATACTATTTGACCTGGCCACGCACTGCTGTGGCTGAGTCAATGATCTTTGTTAAATTTGAAGTTTCCGATACTTCATTTTTAAATGCTTGGATACTCTGGATACCGGAACCTGAGGTGACTTTGCCAGTGTTTGGGGGTTTTTCATTGATAACATAAAATATTTCAGCTGTAGTGCCTGATGTATAATATATGTTAAATTAAGGCATATTTTCTATAATCAGTTATTTTTTCAAGGCCCTATAACAATGGATTATATTTATTTTTTTGCCACAAATGTTGGCAAAGTTACCCCACGATTGGAGTAATATTGCCATGCCATATAACTGGCTAAAAAAAGCAAAGTTAGACCAGTTTTGGTCTTATTTTTCTTTAACGTAAAACTTCCAACATTTTCGTGCAAAAATCACAAAAATATCTTGAAAACTAAAAAAGTTATTGAGTATTTTGAAAAGACCTTAATTTTATATAGGTATAATTATCGATTTATAACGTTCTACGTCTTCTGATTCCCGATCTCCAACCATCTCTGTCAATCCAGGCATCTTCTTCTAAGCCTATGTCTTTCATTTCCTCATCTACTCCACTTCTCCAGCTTCTTCTTGGTCTGCCGCGTCCTCTTCTTCCCCCTGGCTTCCACTCAATTATTTGCTTGGGTATTCTTGTATCTGCCATTCTTTGTACATGTCCGAACCAAATTAGCTGTTTGTCCTTTATATCATCTACTATTGTGTGTTTTACGTCCATAATCTCCCTAATTCTCAGATTTGTTATCCTTTCCATTTTTGACCTGCCTGCCGATCTCCAAAAGTCCATTTCAGTTGCTTCTAGCATTTTTGCGGTTCTGATCTTTAGTGGCCCGACTTCTGAACTATACGTGACTCTGCTTTTGACTATGATGTTGTATATTCTCGTTTTGTTAGTTTTGTTGATATTTTGATCCCACATTACAGGATCTCTCCTTGAACTAATTCCAGAGAAAAAAGTCTGGAACTGTCAAGTCAAAAGAGTAAGGTGTCCATTCTATAGGACCATAGCTCTCCCTATCCATCTTTTCCCAAATGTCATATCTCTGAAAAGAACGGTAATTAAGAATCAAAATCTGTGTTCAAAAATCTAACCTCAAATTATAAAGTATGTGTCATGGTCCTGGTCCTGTGTAAAATTAAAATTATTTAAATCGGATGGAAAATAATTCTTTAGAAAATGCTTAAATTCCCATAATGTTGCTAACGGAAGTAAGTACCTAAGAAATATAGGGACATTATAATTATCTGACAGTAGTGACAGTTCGGACACTGGAGCTTCGACGCTTCACTGAGGCGCTAGCGGGATAGACGGCCCCTGGGCTTGACGCCCCGATTAAAAAGAACGGTTGTTTACATTTCAAAATCGTGATCCATGGCGCCCTGGGGCACCCAAGCCCCTGAAAAGAAAGCATCTCTGGTATGCCTGATGAAATCAACAATAAAAAACAAAATGTCTATTATACTATAAGCACAAAATCCTTCAATTACTGTACGATATTTGTAGCCCAGATGATCTGAAAACAAAGTCCTATTCTGATCTGGTTAAATTCTTATGCCGGTTTTCCACCAAACCGACAAAACAAAAATAAAACTTAAACTCAGACAAATACTCTAACTTTTCCCAAACATTTTCAAGATTAGCGTGTTGTGCGACAGATGGAGTTTTGTTTTTCGAGTTTTAAAACACAAACTCAACAGTCCTTTGGTGGAAAACCGGCATTATAAGGTAAAGTGCGGCAAGTGCAGTCACTTTTTTTGTATAGTTTCGATGTTATGACGGGAAAATATTAAAAAAAAAAAAAAAACTCGCCGAGGGCTGTAACATTTATGTGTACACCTACAAAGATGGTCTTTAAATTCTGATAGAGAAATTAGGGATATGCCATATTAGAAATTAGTTTTTTTTTAAATTTGTTCTGCTCATTGATTGCACTTTCCCTATAAATCCGGAAAAGTGCAATTAACAACGGTTTTATCCAAATGTTATTTTACTCTGTAAAGTGCAATCAATTAGAAATAATAGATACAAAAATATATATATATATATATTCGACTGCAAAAAAAATTATGCAAAAAGTTTTAAACTTTTTAGGACGGTAAGAATAGAAACTAAAGAAAACTCTAAATTTAAATAGGAACAATATTAAGTAAAAATAAAGCATTAAACTCTCTTTTAAATTAAACTATAGCATTACTTAGACATAAAAATATTTAACTTGGTGCGTTTACACATGCATGGATTTAGTGGCGCCAATAAAACCTGGGCGTCAGTAAATTTTATTAGCAAGTGTAAACATGAACTTGCATACACATTTTATATTTACATGCATAGTCCAAAAAAGTCTGCATCCTTCTGAAATCACTGGCGCCAGTGGTGACAAATTCATACAGAAAATCCAAACTTGCAAGTGTAAACAAGTGCTTGCACGTCGGCGTCCGCTCGCCAGTTTTTCGTTTGAGTTTCATTTCGATTGCTGCGAGTTTTTCTAGAAGTTTGGCAGAAGCAGCCAAAGTGGGTCGACGACCAATCCATGGTTCAACCCAGAAACGACCATTTCGTTGGTTGCGTTTCTTTTTCTGTATTTCTTTTATCTTTTTTTTTTTACTAAAAGCTTAGCGACTATTTTACAGGCTTCGGAAAGTTCATTCGACATAGTGCACACTGAGAAAAACACTTTAATGATAGAGTGCATAGCGTACTGCCAGCAGGACAAAAAGTTTTGAGGACCCTATAAAAATGCCTATATTAGGATTAAGAAACCTGCTAGAAGGACTTTTAGACCTTCTAGTAAATAGAGAAAATCTTGAACTTTCAGCGCATTTTTGGATCACAGTCCTATTGCTAACCGTTACCGAGTAATTATTAATCAAAGTCGCGCGATTTTAGTCGTGAAAGTGATACCTATTGGAACGCGTGTGGCCGTTTTGGTCACATATTTCGATTTTAATTGGGCCTACTATCTTGGTTTTCGACCAGATTTACAAATTAATAATAATTGAAATACCTAATACTAAATAAATAGCAAACAAAGGTTTCGTTTCCTCTTAGTTTCAGTTTGATTTTTTTGTTGAATATTTATTTTTCATTTGACTCCCAGTGCAGTTTATTTCATTTCTCTTAAGTAGCTACATAATAAACTGATTTTTCCAAAAATATGTCTTTGATTTTTTCATTTAGATTGCTGTGCATCATTTTACAAAATCTGTTAAAATATAAAATAGGCTTGGGCATTTCAATAACCAAAATTTAGAAAAAAAGATAATAATTATACATATACTTAATTGGTGGGAAAAATAAAGTATATTTTAATTAAGTTTCAGTATAATTGGCGGTATTATATGGCCTAGATGTACCATAATAGATCTGCACACTTTTCAATTATAAGTACTTCTGGAATCAGCGCGTACTGCCAGCAGGACGTGCAGCGTTCTCTCTACAGGACAAATCAATAGGCCTAGTCAAGTCCTGCTCGCAGGACGCGTTCATTTACATAAAAGTACTTCCATAGAAGCGCTTCCAGCAGGACAAATCGCTATGCACTCTATCATTAAAAGTGAAACTGGCGTGCCACTTATTTCTGTTTTTTACATACAAAGTGTAATGAATAATTGTTGAAGTAAAAACGACCTCTTTTTTCTATTGGCTTTTCGAGGATGTTTACAATCTGTTCAATTGTATGTAATTAACGAAAGATCCTTTATATCTGGGCAAACGCGATGTTCTTCAAAATTCCCGAATTCTGAAAATATTTCTTCGTCATCATCCGTGTCCATACAGGGTGGCCAATTGAAAACGAAACAGAGGTGATTTTGGGTTCC